CTCCACGCGCCGCCATTTTGCTGAGGGGGAAGGAGGAGTAGGAGGGGACGGGAGCGAAGGGGGGGACAGGGCRCTCGGGCGCCGCTCGTCAGTTTCCGACCAGGCAGGAGGAGGCGAAGGTGGCCGAGTCCCTCCTCCTCCCTTTTCCCTCTCGCTCCGCCTTCCCACCGCGGCTCCGAGCGGCGGGATGGCGAGCGGGGAGGAGGAGGAAAGGGGGCGGGAGGGTAAAATGGCGGCGGTGGCGGTTGGGTGCGCGCCCGGGGAAGGGCGGGAAGCGCTTCTCCCTGCCCTCTTCCCGCCTCTCGCGGCCSGGAATCTCCGCCAGGAACGCGCGCACGCCGCCGCTGTGACAGCGACGGGGGAGCGGCTTCTCCGACCCACCCCTTCCCTCGGTGCCCGAAGCCGCGCACCCGCCGCGCTCGCCGGGCTGCCTCGGGGACCTCCCGCCTGAAGGGAGCGCTTAGCACGCTAAGCCGATCCCCGTAGCGAGGAAGCTCCCGGCTTCCAGACGGTTTTCCAGGTCTTTTGGGTGGTTTATTGGCGTTTTCCGCCGTCGGGGCGCGGGACGGAAGAGCCGCCGCCATCTCCTTCCCGCCCAGCGCKGCTGAGGGGAGCGGGGGCACCTGTGGGCGCCGCCGACCCGGACCCCGAAAATGGGCGTTAGGAGGGCTACGGTAGCGTTTTCTGATAATAATTAATTTATTTTTACAACATAGTTTTCCGCCCTGTTTTTTTACCCCCCTTAGTGCACCGTGATTTATTCTGTACAATGACTAATGGCATCTGTGACTGGCTGGAAATAGCCCTTTCTAAATAAAAGACACGGTCGGTCTCAAAAAACAAACTGAAAASTTTAATTGAAGATACCTAATTTATACTGATTACCGCTATCAGTTCATTGTCTTGGGTACGTTTTGAAAGAGGTTTCAAACCCATGGATGACAAATTTTCAGGAAAACATCTGTTTTCCATTAAAAAAAAAGCCCAACTTTTTTTTTTTTTTTTTTCATCTCTCAATCGTGCTCCCTCTCCCAGGTACATGTAACTGGAATACGGATCACATGATAGATCTTGGCTGGTTTTTCTCCCCAAAGTGGATACTTGCCGAGTATTAAGCGCTATTTTTTATTTCTGTAGTACCACCCAGTGGCGAGTCCGTGTGTTACTCTGAACGCTTGGAGTTTACYGGCCTGTACACAGGATTAAAACCCCAAATCTATTAATAGCCGCAATGCAGATGCAATATAGTTTAGTAGAAAGTAAAATAGAATAGCCAAATGCCAGGGGGAGGGGGAAGAAAGAGTTGTTTTGAATTCCTCAGTGGCTGTCTCATATTTCTTCCATTTGAAGTAAGTCTGGTGGCATTGTGGAGATGCAGTTTTGTTGGGGTTTTTTTTTTCATAATTCCATGTGCATATTTATCCAGGCTGATAACACCGTAGCGATTGTGTGTGTAACCTCCCACTCCAGGGCACAGAACGCTCCTCCAARCAATCCTCAAGGCACCACTTTCTTAAACTAAGACAAAAAATTCCACTACTGTTTAAAAACAGGAGACAATTTACTGTAAACAAGCAGTGAACAACTACCGTAAAATATACTAGAATGATATTTCACCCAGAGTTCTTGTCACTGTTTGGTTTTGAAATACTTTGTAAGTTAGGTTTATCAATTAAGGTAGCTATTCTTTATTATTCCCTGCTGAAATTTCCTTTTTTACTAATTTAAACTAATTCAGAAAATTAACTTGAGAGTCTACAGGAGACACAGACTCCATGTCTGTCTCTTTAATGCAAGTATCATGTTAATGCAACTATATTTCAAATTATTTCTGGAAGTAACAAAAGGTAGTAATACAAGAGACAGGAGAAGACTGAATAAAAACCTGAAAACTTCCCTGAAACTTTTTACTGATCTTTCTCCTTAGATTTAGTTTATAGATGTTTTAATTTCTGACAAAAAGTCATAGTCTTCTAAATTCTGTATTTTCTATTGACAGAAATCTAAGCACCACACTAGCTAGTTACGTCACTAAACCTCCATAATAATAACTCTTTAATAGCTAACTGGTTTAGTTATTAGAATGAAACAGATGTACTGGACCCTGTAAAGCCTTTTTTGGTTGTTTCATCTCTCCAGCTACCCTGAGAACTCATAATGGAAGAATCAAAGGAGTCCAGAATGGTACAATTATATTCTGCTCCTGYCTGTATTAATTTAGTGACCATCTTTCTTTCCTATAGCACTCATTTCAAAGCTTGAGCTCCATCAAAAGGTAGATCAGAGGATTTTATGTTGTGCATTTACATKTTAGTTTTCACTTGATGTTGTGCTGTGTGTTCAACATTATTTCAGTTACTGTAGAAAACTTCATTCTACAGCATCATCTACTGCATCATCGGATCTGAATTTGCACTTTTCTGTCCACTGTTTCTCCCTTACACACGCCCTGCAGTAACTTTTATAACAGACTCAAAATTAACTGCCAAAAACATCTTCAAAGATCGTTTTCCTGTCAAATCAGCTGTTTGATGTGAGTGCAGCACCATGTAAACACCAGAGTCAGCAGAAGGGACCTTCTGGAGCGTGGTGTCACATGCCATGCTCAAGGAATACAGCAGAAGAGCATGGGTGACCTTGAGTCAGTCCTGCTTTTGAGCAGAACACAACATGGAAAGCTAAATTCCTTCTACTGCACACTTTTTTTTTTTTTTTTTTAAACTAGAGGCTAAAATGAATTATTTTGAATTAAATGTTAGCTTCTAAGCAGAAGACAAGAGTTGTAAGTGGCCTGGTTACAGAGATTGTCAGCCTCCTGCTTTTTCCTCTWAACCTTTATTCTCTCTGTGTGCCATCCCAGCAAGGTTTTATCCCCAGGAGGACTCTTCCCTTCCCCTGACTGCAGTGCTCCTCATCTGGAAATATTTGCCCTGGTAAAGTACTTCTAGAGGAATAGTTCTTCTAGAGGAATAACTTAGGTAAATCCAAGACCTGGGCAAAACTAAAATTCTTAATCCCAAATTTTAGACTGGATTAAGAGCAAGAACATACACACTTTCCAAAATTGATGTCCCAACACTGAGCTAGTATCTGTAAATCTGTGACCTTGTGTCTGGAATGCTGCTGGAAATCACTGGAAGCCATGTGCAACAGAATCAGTTTAGGTTTACCTACTTTTAAGTTTCAGCACTTGACTTTCATTGCTCTTTTAGCATTTTAAACAGGTTCATGTCTAACTAGACTTTGGTKTCACAGCACCAGAAGACAAATCCAAATTGATTTACCCCAAAGAGTAGAGAAGATGCTCAAAACTTAGCCRTATAGGGCCACAAATGTCATGAAGTACAGATAAGGCATTTCTGAGCATGAAAGAGAGTACCAGCAAAAACTGAACCACTACCAAAGTGTCCCAGGCAGTTTCTGTTGSACCTCTTTCGGACTTTTTAGTGGTAAAATGCATTTGCAATGTTCTCTTGGAGAAATTTTCGTGTCTGGTTATCAATGTACATATGAAAAYAACCAGCAGTGGGTTAGGAAGTGGGCTGGAGCCTGCTCTCCTCCAACACATGTACACGGAGAGAACAATTTTAACTCCTCACCCCAATTGTTAAATTGGCCAATTCTTCCCGATAGTCTTTGCTGAAATCACAGAATCCATTAAAGACTGCAGACTTCAAGACTTAGGAAAAACTGAGACTAATTAGAAAGATTTGAGATTTAAAGGGTGTTCACTACCAAAAACCAGGCAGCTGAATACATGTTGATATGAGACTGTGAAGAGACTACCCAAGAGATCACCCAGGAAAAAGTGCTGTTTGACATTTAACTTACAAGGAATAAATAAACATGAAAATCTGAGTATCTTGTTTTCATCCATACTCTTGACCTCCAAAATATTCCTCCTCAATCCCATCTTTCCCTATAGGCACTTAGAGCATGAAAAAGTGCTCACAGGTTTGTAGGTGTGAAATCTGGGACTTTTAGGTAGTTGTGGTGCCTTGTACTTGGGATAATAACCTGAAAAATTATTCCCTTAACTGGAATGGCCCGWGCCTTTTCCCAAGGGAAACCAGCCAACAGGGACAGACTCAGACATCATAGCAAGGAAGTCCTGAAGCTGAAAGCCTAAAATTAAATGCAATCTCAAGGAATGATATGGGCAGGTGCATTCCTGATGGGCAGATGGACAGCATTATTCTTTTACTGATTTTTGGCACCAGGATGGTTTTTAAAGAGCTATCTCCAACGTTTCAGTTTTGCTCCATAACCCGTGGAGACAAACCTGGTAAGGGGAGAAGGAAGTTGAGACACAGCTTCCAGCACCGAGAAGCCTTGGATCAGTAAAAATCATTTACCCAGTGATAAATGGACTCTGGGACAGTCTGGCCCCTTGTCACAGCACCAAGGCAAGTTCCTCACCTCAGGCAGTCTCTCCMTTTTAATGCATCATTTCCAGCCTCTTTCCCTCATTTTTCCCCTTTAAGCTGAAGTTTTATTGCCTTTCCAGTGCTAAAAACTATCAGAAGTAACTCTTGAAGCTTCCTAGAGAGATGAGCATTTCTAAAGGTTTTTTTGCATAAATATTAGCTTTATTGGAAAATAGTTCACTTAAACCAATCAGATTAACACACACCAAATTATTCTAGTTTAAAAAAAAACCAAAACCAACTAACCTAAAATGCTTTGGAAGATAATCTGCTTCAGTTACAGTAGCAAACACATCATGGCAGCCTGAAACAAGTACTTGGGGTGTCTTCATCAGCTAACAATTCATGTAAACACAGAAAACACCCTGAAATATTTGTATTTATCAATGTACCTGAAGTACACAGAACTGTTTCATTTTTTTTGTAAAATCTGTATAGAAATATGCACAAACATTGGTTTACATATAGTTACAAGTTATGGAGATGTTTATATGATGGTTCATGCTTTTTATCCATATATTTTGATTTACAGAGTGTGCATTAGAGCTAGAACTTTCTTGGATGTACATTGTCTTYTTTTTTTTCTTCACATTCAGGATAACTGCACTAGAAATATGCACACACACAAGTCAAATCTTTAATGGTATCCAGAACTCCACATAAGCTGCATTTTTTATAGCAGCTGCAGAGATCAGGGAAAGGCACCAATTATCTTAAGAGAACAAGACAAGACCACAGTTAAATTTTTAGATCTAAAAGGGAAGCAAAACCTAAGATTAGAATGTTGTTACTAGGTAATTCATAAGTTATCAAAATAATGAAACAACTCTTCTCTGAATCAACATAAAAATACATTTCGGGTTTGTTGTGTGAGAGGTTAGGTCATATTTAAATCTTCAGTGAACAATCAGACCACAAGCTTCAGATTTAACTTCAACCTTGAAGGAAGGTGCATCAATGCTTGTATTTTTGTTCAGAACTGTTCTGAATGCAGTTAATGSCACTGCACATCAGAACCAGTTCAGTGTTTAGCTCTGTGACTCATGGGCTATGATCTGACATCAYGCTATTGATGGGATTTATTTCCTTTTGAATAACCCTTTTCTTACTTCTCTGCACAGCTTTTGGTAATCTGTAGCTCTAATGCTGCAACTCAGCCTGGTCACAAGCCATTCCATGTCCTTTCCAGATGTGTCCTTTAACAGGACTTCAACTGTTGCACTTTAAACTGCCCAATAAAAGACAATATTGCCTTTGCAGTGTGGAACAGAAAGCTCCACATTGACAGGAAGACATGAAAAAGCTGGAATTGGGAGCTTTAAASAGAGTAAGAAATGAGTTTTGTAACTCTGGCAGTAATTATCAGTTTTGGGAGGCTGTACACAGTCCCAGCCATCAGTGGTTTGAGGAACCTCTCCAAGCAATGCCAGCTCACAGTGACACTGCCCAAGGCCCTTCCCATGGGAGCAGTTGAGCTTTCCTAGGGCCAACCACGTGAAACAAATGGAGAGATGCTCACAAACACAAAGGGGCTGACACTTTGGACTGGAAACATTCCGGTCACAGCTAYATCCTACAGGAACACCGCTAACTCATGCACTTCTACTTCAAAAGGAATACACAGCACAAAGTTAACTACAGTACCCAAAGGGGCACACAACACCCCACGCCTGCCTAGCCTTGTGTTGCAGCTCTCTGTGAGAATGGCTACACTTCATAYCCCAATGACAACCTGGAGACTGGACACCAAATCAGGGAAAAACTTAGGGAAAGCTTGACACGGACTGTTAGAAAACAGAGACAAGACACAACAGAGATGGGGAAGCCAAGACTGTACACAACCTTAGTGTTCATACTGCTTCATAAATCTGTGAAAATCATTTAACTACAAAACTTTAGGTAGAAAAATAACTGTAGATCKTGTCTACATGTGTTATTAACATGGACTATTAACTGCTTAGTCAAGATACAGTGCAATACCTCTTTGAAATAAATTGCAAAGAGTCCAGAGAGAGAAAGAGCAAGAGTACCTCATTCCTGGCATTTTATAGTAACGTGTTATGGAATARTTATCCATGGAGGTAAGTCAGAACAGCTACTGTATTTCCAAATGGAACCCAACTTAGTTCATGGTAACTTCAAGCACAGCCAAAGTCCTTGAGATGAGGCAAGCCAGAAGCAACAGTTATCTAGACCTCAAGGAAATTTTCCTACACCTTCAAATACAAATCTTAAATATGATCACAGCATTTTCATCCAATAAAAGAATAAGCCAAAGAAAGAAAAATAATGTAAACCAAGTTTATTTTGCTCTTAAGTAGTGTTCTTTAAGCACTACAGCATGGTAAACAATGTAAATTAGTATAAGTCATCTCAAAAGCCAGGTTTTTTTTTTTTTATTTTATGAGTTGTTAAAAAGATGCAGCCTATTCTAACAGGATAAATATTTTAACCATTTCACTTCGAGTTAATGAAGGCTCACAAATGAGCAACACTCCTCATTGAGGAAAACAAAAAGCTGTTGTCGACAAAGCGACAGCACACACACAAAAACAAAAGAACTGTGTAAAAATAACTAACTGTACTGTGTTCCCATACTCTTTAGAAGTTGCTTTACAATGGGATGATATGCACATGATCTTGCTGCAAACTTGCCATACAACTTGCAAATACACGTAGCCTATAGCCTTACCACTCAGTCCAGAAAGCTGCTAACTGATCAGAATAAACACAGCACTAGAATCCTCTGCTTAACAATTAATTCAATCTGCTTTACTCTTTACCTTTTCTCCTAGACTGCAGGACAGACTAGAAAGAAAATTACCCCGAATTAAAAATCGATACTCTTACAGGAAATTGTAATATTTTGCAATATAGTCTTTTACAAGTTACGTTTTGCCTATTTTCCCCTTAGCCACAAAATGGGCATGAAGTAATTACTTTGAAAATGCCTTAATTTTCAACTTCATGCAAATCTAAATAAAGATGACCAAACAAAAGCTTGAACAATGGAAGGATATTTCACAGAAAATTTCTTATACAAAAAACACATAAGAAAAAGGGCCACTAGGTGACATTTTAATTTACAAATTGGCATCATTTTGGTCAACAAATATCCAAGTGCTGTTTTCTTCTATCACAACAAAGTTAGCTGTACAGAAAGAAAACCGCAAAACTTGTTTTATTTTTGTTTTTAATCGCACATCTCCTCAGGAATTTCATGTGGATTAAGGATGCCAGGTACAGACATCTGAAGTTTATGCTTCTCCTCTTGAGCCTGCCGCAGGGCTGTTTCTCTCTCCTCCAAGAATAAGTCTGATGTGTCTTCACCTGCAAATTCCTGYGATAATTCACATAAAAACATTAGTTTGTTGTCAGATGCTTTTTAGGCAGAGTAACAAACTTCCAAAATTATTCAGGGAACAWCTTCCCTTCCCGTTCCCTGACAGGCTACTTTTGTAGGTTTCTGTTCCTATGGTCACAATTAATATAAAGAACTACTGAAAGATGTTTACCATGTGTTACAGAATGGGGTGCCACAGTAACCCAGCATTTGGAGTGTATCACCATTAAAGCATAATCTTGACAATTCTGAAATACCTGACAATTGCAGTCTCAAAACTAAYTAAGAAACTATTTCCTACAGTCTTAGAATCCCAGCATGCTCAGAAAAATAAAGGCATGGCATTGCTGTAGCGAATTTCAAAACTGGTCCCARTTCCAAGCAGAATGAAAAAAATCTGGTTAAAAACCAACTTATTTCCCAATACATTTCATTTTGCAGCTGTCCTAAGACATAAGGATTATATGCACAATGTGAAACAGGTTCTATGAATATCCCCCAGTCACACAAGCCAGTGGACAGAGTTCTCACTGCATTTTAAAAAGATGCAAAGAAACTTCTATTTCTCAAACACACACTGACTCCACACTGTCCAAATGCTTTCCAACAATATCCTGCCAAAAACTTTTTAATTTCTTGAGAAAAGCACACCCAACATACCTTGATTTGGACCAGGAAATCCCTTAGGTGTTCCTTGAAGGCAGGAATATCCTGGTTTAAACTGAAGAGTCCCGTTACGAACAGCTTAACCTGGGCACTAACAGCAAACAATCAGTTAGAATTCCAAAGAGGCAAGCACCTACTAAGAAGCATTACTGAATCATGGCAGACTTACTCTTGCAGGTGAGGAAACGCAGATTTGAGGAGATTAGCCACATACTCCTGAATAAACATTTGGTTGTTCACTGGATTTCCAGGGTTTAAAGGAGTACTTATTTTTCCCTCTTCTACCAAGTTGAACATGTACGCAAGGATTGACGCATGCATTGTCAAACCTGCACAGATCAAAGTCAGACACACGCAGTTGTTATTTGGAACAGGATGTGTTACATTATTGTGATGTTCAAAGACATGGTTTCTATCGCCTGCCTCACACAGAGCCACTTTCTCACCTGCAGTGTGCGAGGTGTCTGTGACCACGGAGAAAATGTGCTGGAGGATATCACAGAAATACGTCTGATAGAAACTCTGGGCAGCRGTCTCCTCCTGTGCAACGTTCTGTAGTAAGGTATAAAGGATCTGAAGTCCTGCAAAACAGGAATCAAAAAAGTTACCAAGAGAACAATATTTAAACAGCTGTGAAACTTGGGCCTTTTCCAAAACAACCCGATTATCCCAAGAAATTCCGATGGGCAGCAGGATGTTCAGCAKGGCACATGATGGCTTTGTGAGGCACTTCCCTGGTCTGGCACTAGAGGGCACTGCCTCCCAGACATGGCACACCCCTTTGGCTTTATGATCATATTACTAACATCTCATTGGCAAAAAGATCCAATCACAGCACCAAATGAGCAAAACCCTCTACCCAGACAAGTGTTGGCTAATTAAACAAGCAAAGGTGTTTGAATGCTTAGGTTTACAAGGAAATTCAAATTACTTTATGTGGTTAAATGTAACTGAACWCCCCATCTCTAACTGGCGACAAAAATCTGGTTTCACCATTTYTTGGTGACACTATTTTGAGCTAGTGCATCCCTTCAGCCATTTCAGAAGAGAGCCAATGATAACATGGCAAAGAAAGCAAGTATAAACTGTAATAGTGATGCTCTCTTCCAGCTGCAGGAATGGAGCAACAACCAAATATCTCAGCCCATCCATGGATACCTGMCTGACACCTTGAAGCTGAGACAGAGAAATTCTATTCTTGTTCAAATGCAATACAGAATCAAGTGAACAATACGCTAAATTTGATTAAAGAAAAAGAAGWGCAGCATTCTACCAGAAAATCTCTGATCTAATTAAACACTTCCATTTACCTGTATCTGCAACGTTTCTCATTGTGTGTTTGAAAGCCCAAATAATAGAATCCAGGACAAGTTTGAACTGTGCAGGTGGAATGGCCAGGAAGGCTGGGAAGCATTGAGAATTTACAGCTTGSAGTAGCAAGAAGAAGTTTGTTCTATGTTCAGGATATTCTTCAAAGTCCTAGAAGGAAAAGGGGGGAAAAAGCCAAAAAACCTTAAGTTCCATAATTGTATCTTCCATTAAGCAGAGCAAGTCAGTRCATATTGCACACTACAGCATGAGAACTGCCTTAGAGAGGAAATACTCAAAATGACTGACCAGTACTGGTGGTCATACATTTTAAATATTTATCAATTTTAGCAATTAGTCCTACATGGACATTTGGCTGAAGTACACTTTGCTTCCAGAAGTGCAGCACTCCAAGGTCCCAGAAAAATTACYAATGGCTTAAATCAAGAGCTAACCAGAGAAATTTAAAGCAATWTAAGACATCCAACTAGACAGCTCAATTGCAAAACAAGTATGCTCATTTGTGCAGAAATTTCGTCAAGTGTCACAAATGCGCTTTGTGACTGGAAAAAACCCAGATGAATCACAAGGTACGTGTTGCAATGATACTCAGAGGGAGACGTCTTACCCCGGATTTTAAATATAAATACCTTGTTGATCATGTTTAATGTGCACTCAAAAACAGCATCGAAGATCTGAGGTATTTCAGCAGTGATGTGTCCCCCCAGCTTGTTGACAATGATAGCCATGGTACTGAGCACCTCGGGCTCCCGAGCGGCCGGGACATTCCGTTGGTAATCGATGAGAACTGCATCCAACAACGGAGGAACAAAGTTTTCAGCTACCTGGTTGGAAGAGTAAGCCAGGTTATAGCAGTGCAGCTACTCAACAAAATCTCCAGCACAGTTTGTAGCCAAGGTCTTCATTCAGTTACAGGTGACATTTTTCCTTCGGAAGCTGAAACWGATTGCCATCCTATGTCTCCATCTTAAATCTCCTTGACTCCCTCYGAGATCACTCTTAGCTAAAATCAACTGAAGCATCTCAAACATTGCTCAGGTTTACCTCCTAGGATCATACTTCCTCCTCCACTATCTTTTACACACCTCCTGAACCAAGTTCCTGTGCCCAACAACTGAAAACAAACCAAAGTTCGTCCCAATTGTGTCTTAGGAGTTATTTGTATAAAATGCATCCACTTACCATCTGCGGATCATTGGACCTGCTCACCCAGCCAGAAATTAATTTTAAYGTTTCCCTTTTTACAGTCCTCATACTTCTAATCAAGGGCTGCTTTGTTACCATTTCACCTGGAAAATTTTAAAGCTTCAGTTAATTGTGTGAGGTGTCCAAAAAAACCCCACCCCACATTTGAAAAAAAAAACCCACCAAATTGACTTAATATTAGCAAAACAGAGAATGCTTGATTTTTATATCTGGATTATAAACACTATTAAAGGCTGCTTTTGTTTCAATCTTTGCCAGTTGTAAGAACATTCTCTGAGGCAACTGCAATCACAGCAGTTACTGCTCCAGAAGTTTACCAGGCCTACARCCCCAGAAACTGCTTCCTCAACTTCCCTTTGTCTGGCAATCATAAAAATTCTGGCCATTATATTAGCTGAATGAAAAGTTATTGATTTTTTCAGCCAACTTCTATTCTGAATTCCAAGAAGCTGCTTCAAGGCAAACCAGCTGCTCAGTTACCAAGTTGCATTTAACATTCCAAGTACATGCTACTGGCCAGAAAATTGGGCACAGCACAGAACTCAACAACTGACTCATTTCATCTTGTAATGAACTACTACAGAAGCACATTCTACGGAGATTCTACAGGCCYTAAGTTATCTGGCAAAAACAAGGGGAGGTAATTCAGAATTCCTTCTGTGATTGCAAGCCTGGTTTACCATGACTCTCAGGTATCTTCATTCATTACATTTCTGCAATGCAGCCTTGTAGCACAGCCTCATTCCAAAACCCTCCTGACATCTTYTGAAGGAATGAATGAGATCCTGTTHACAGACAGTCCTTTAATACTCAAAGCCAGAGTAAGCTAAAAGAACACAGGCTACAGCTTCATCTCAGCAAGAGGCCTATTAATTCTAAGTAACCATCCCCGGTGTTCTGCACTCTCCTCAACTTGCTCATTTATGGATGCTTCTCCCTCCCTCTAAGGCTGGGAGTTATTTGAATACAACTACTGTTAACAAAAAAATATTTGAGCACTTTCAGGCCCCCACTTGCTCAAACAGTAAAATTAATCTAATTGGGATGTGCTCTGAAAYTCAATGACAGACACTGCTAACCCCCATTTTCAAGAAGAACATGGAATTTCTTACCATTAGCCTGAATAGCTGCAGAGATATTTTCACTTAGGCACTTGTACACATTCAGCATATCTAAATAAATTCTTCCAAGCTGAATCACAAAGGGGTGGCCAACTGCTTTACATGCTCTTACATTGGTTTTCAGAATGCTACCAAGCTGCTTAACTGTTTCAGGATCCTTTAGAATATCAACATTCTGTGAAAAAAAATTAGAGATTTTATCTTGGTTAGTGAATACAACCACCTTTGTCTTTCAATATAAAAGCCTAAGCTTAAACAATTTATTTTATACAATGCCTTAAAAGAACATATCACTCCAATTTATTGACTTTATAATTTATASAGATCCTGTTGTTTATTTCATGGCATTTGCCACCACCTCCAACAGAGGATATAACTTCATTGCATTCTGTTCTTCTGCAAAAGTATTTATGCTGCAGTGGAACAAGCATTTCTCTAGTTAGAGAATGCAGAAAAACTAAGGAGATTAAATGCTGAAAATAGGCAGAAGGGGTCCAAAGGAAATTCACTATGTTCTTGAGGGAAGTCAGGGTAGGAAAAGTAACTCAAGCTTGCTTAAGTTTGGCCCTTAATTAGACTAACTGCAAATGGACTGTCTCTTCTGCAGTGCAAGACTGTTCTTTAATGTGTGTAAATAAAACTATTTTCAAAAGATTGAAAGAAATGTAAGATAAAAGTAATAAAACATGTACTTTAAGAGCATGGTGAGAGAAAAAAAGATGAACCGTATTTTTAGCATTTTAACTTGTCAGTTATCTAAAAGCCAAGTGAAAGGGAGGCATTAGAACAAATTACTAAAATAAATTCTGCACAGTAACAGAAGATGGTAGATTCAATCAGATTAGAATGGGTATTCAGTCATTTAAGTCTCCTCTCTCAAAACAACACTTCCAYTGTCATGTCAATCTGTGTCTTAGCCATCAGGTATATGAAGTCCATCCCAGCTCTGTGCACTTAATAGGAAAAATAAATGCAGGGCAAGGCAAACATGTAACATGGTTTTTACCTGAACACCAAATACATTARAATGTACAAGCTCACCTTTGTTGCCTGCTGAATGATGCTGTCCCACACCTGATTGGGCAGCAACATGTACTTTTCTATCAGATGCTCCTGCACAGTCTGGTCTGTCTGTGCCCCAATCATGTATCCAACTGCTTCATAAAATGTGTGCACCTGATGGGAACAGCAACACCACAAACACCGAGGTTAAAAAGGAGCAAGAATAAACCTCAGTTTTACCAGACACTTTTGAACTGTGGACTGGCTYCCATCAATCCTGAAAATATCTTTTTCCAGGTGCCAGATCCACTCTGCCTGAAATTTCACTACATTAGTGAAGGTCCACACTAATCTCATTTCATGAGCCATGCTCTTCCTAGACAGATTTGCCTTTCCTTTTTTGGAAAGGAGTGGATTTCAGATTTTCCCTTTTTGGATTGTTACTTACCCCCTCCTTCACAAATGCAAGAGGTGTAGGTATATACTGTTATAGTAGGATACTGAGTTTTCATAAAGCAGAACCATGAAGTTAAATYCAGCATCCTCTTTGTTAAAACATTCCAGACATCACAATTCCAACTAAACATACTTGAATTCTGCTTCSAAGCAGTTCAACTGAGATCTCAGCAAAGCAATTTAATTGTGGTATTTGTACCCTGACACTGCCCCTAACAAAAATTAAGGAATATAATTCAACCTGGGAAGAAAACCCTACATTTCAGTATGAAGTAACTTTGCATAGGTCTTTTGGGATTATCCACACCCCAAATCAAACCTACCTGTTGTGGCTGAAGGTCACAGATGATTGTATTAATATTGTTCAGGATTTCATCGATAAATGGCATGACCTCTCCCACCTGAACCTGGACAAAGTGCCGGCGGCATTTCTGTGCTATTTTGATGAAGGTATCACAAGCCATGTCCTGGACGCCATCGTGGGTTTCTAAAGGAAATCAAGGCACTTACTGCTTCGTATTTTTCCCCTCACATGTCCATGTACAGGCATCTTTTTTTTTTAATAATTAAAACAGCAAATTTTAAAAAGCAGATAATTACCATGCATAAATTCAAACAGCTTGTTGACTACTGTCTTCAAAAATTTCCAGTGAGCTCTCAAAAACCGTGGGTATTGACCTACTATATACATTATATTTGATGCAATAATGGCTTTATTGTCCTTTCCTCGCTTTTGTTCACAGAGTCCCAGGAGATCCTACAACACAAAAGATTCTTAAGTTTCCTCTTCGAGTCTATCCAATTCCATTAAAACATTAGAAGCACAACATCTTATAAGGAGCTATATTAAAGATGGTTGCCATAATCAAATTCAAATCTAAATAAAGCAATAAAATCCCAAACAAGTGGTTAAGATAAGGTTGATGCAATCATTTAAGTTTCATCCAAACCCTGATCAGTGTATTTTAAACTAAGGGAGCTCCATTTTTAATATAACCAAGAATTCCTGCAGGGGGAGTTCAACAAGCCTCACAGTAATAATACTGGCTGAGTAGCTGACAGATAACAATACAGACTCCATATCAAATGGAAGAAATTAAATTACATCTTCAGTGTAACTTAAAGCTAAATATTACATAAGAATCTTTGTATGACTTGTTAAAGCCTGTTACTCTTGTGAAAATATTATCTGCATTTTAATCAGACTTTGAGTTTGATCAATGAATATWCAGGTATGGCAAACGAGCAAGGTGCTAGGCTGGTGACAATCATGGGTTACTCTGCCACTKCTGTATTTCACAAGCGATCCCTTTCTGTCTCTTCTGCATCCCTAAAGAATACATTTAATCATGAACTAAATTTTATCTGATGAAAAGTTTCCCTGGATCAATGCATTGTTCACAGTTAACTTATTTATCACCCCTRAATTCAGGACATACAATTTTCCATTAATTTATTATCCCCCTGCATCCAAGGCAGCTTTCTAAGATCACAGAGCAGTATTTCTGCAAGCYTGGTTTCTTCAGCATAAACTCAAGTGTGACCAAGCTGTTAGTTCTGCCCCACCATACCTTAATTACAGTAACCAGGAATCTCTTTTCATCTTCTTCATGCATGGCACCGCTGATAGAGCCGATAGCCCAGCAYAGGGTGTTCAGATTTTTCCACGACCACTCAGTTCCATTCACTTGATTGTGAAGCTTTTCAGTCATAATTCGTTCCGTGTCTGCATAATCCAGATGTGTGAGATAAACTGAAAGACATCAACATGGAACATTTTAAAGCAGCAAGCTGGATCTCAACTCCATAAGCAGTTACATAAAAAAGAACACTGAAGCTGTCAGGTAAAAGTGTAATGGTTATTTCCTAAGGTCATGACAGCATGAGGTAATAACTAAGGCAGATATTTGTTAAAACTATTTAAAGATGGGTAATAAATTTGATTGGAATCTATGTTTATTCAAAGAGAGCTCAGCAAAACATCCCATGCAGGTGATGTGAAAGGTCTAAATCAATGCATATGCCTCAGGATGCCAAGGCAAATTATTATCAAAAGGCATCTACACTGATGGTCTATAGGGAACACGGGATTGGCTGCCTATGGGGGACATTACACAGCSTGTAAGCCCACGCATTTACTTCAGCTCTGTATTTTCGTGTCACCACATCTGGTGGTTGCAATAAGCCACAATTAAAGCAGAGCTGGTGCTCCTGAACAGGTCTAGGTGGAAGAGGTATCACAACTCAGTCACTTGCATCAGTCTCTAATAGGATTAGTGTCTCCAATATAAAGTATTAAATCCCAGCAAGTCAAGAGCAATTTGAGGCCAGGTTCAGAAATAGATTTTTACTGTACCACAGAATACAGCTTCCACTGCATTCTCCCCCTTTTTTCTTTTCCCAAGAGAATCTTATAGGTAATACAACATAAGCAATATAAACCCAACCTGCACTTTCATATAAATAATCTTACATCTGGCAATACTGGATGTCCTGAGCCTAAGTTGTAATTGTTTTGTAAAGCAAAAATGTTTCTCATTTCACATGAAACAATTACAACAATTAATTTAACACTGACTATACCTACATCCCAAGTAGAAAGGTGAGAGTAAAAATACTCATATACATTTTGCATCTCACAGTCTTCCCACACATACATTCCTAACATATAAACCTGTGGCTAAACACTCCGCATAGCAGTGTTCCCATCTGCATTTGATAAAATGAATTTAATATTGAAGGTCTAATGTCCTAAATATCTGACAACTCTACTCCCTTTGCTCCCTCAAGCTGCAGTCATAACTCTAGATATTTTTTTCCTGCCTCAAAAAACTTGTTATCACTGCAATACCTAAAGACAAAAAATAAGTAGTGTATTACTACTCCACCAGGTTATAAAATACTACATGCTTCAAACAAGAAATTACAGAGCAGCCACTTCCTCCTCCCTTTCCAGTCTSTGTAGTACTCCTTGCTGATAACCATTTTACCCACACAATAATTCACATCCTAAGATAACACACTTAACACACYGATGCAGCTGCACAGACTCACAGCGCAAACTACAGCCAGTTTACTTACCTAACGTTTCTCTCATATTTTTATACAAGTTTATRGAATCTGTATCCTTCATGAATTCCCGTACTACCTCCCCTTGATCATTTTCCACAACCAGGACTTCTTCAGGCTTGGCCATRCGACTGACCATGAGCAACCGGACCTGGGGGAAGTTCAAACTGCATCAAAACTCCAACACCAACAACACTTCCAGCTCCACAAGTGTCTCCACAGCACTCTGCTCAGGCAGCCTCAACCACAGAAAGGTTATATCCAGCTACAGCAAAATGTCAACTAACAAGCCATGGAGGATAGAGCCTGATGACTTCTCTCCCTCCAATGAACAAGCTGCATATTTAAAAATAGCCAACTTATATAGTATTAATACWTTCCAGAGGTTCAAAATGCTTATGTTGACCCCTTTTCCCAACCATGTTTTCCTCCAACTCTAACATTCAAGCCCTTCTGTTTAAAGAAACTGTTTAAAACTTATTTATTTTAAATTAAGTATCTAAAAAAAGCTGAGACATTGCATTAGTACTCATTATATACTGGTATCATCTTAAAAGTATTTTCACATTGATTATGTAACCAGAGTTAAATCAACTATCAATTATTCAAAGAAAGCTAAGTTTTCTTATGTCACACCTTACACGAAGCAAAATCTCTAATTCACAAAGAGTATCTAAATCTTTACAGTGTCTTCATTTAAGCATGGATTACCTTGGACAAAACAGGCAAATAAAGCTGTCTCCTTGGAGGAACATCGAAGTGTTGACTTCCTGAAAGCAGTGGAGAAGCAGATGTTGAGAAYGGACTTTCCCTGTAGAGCTCAGCAGCTAAATGGTTCCAATACTCCAGACAAATCTTGAAAATTTCAGTTTCTTCAACTTCTGAYACCAACAACATGTAATGAAGAGCCTGGAAAAGAGTGATTTAATTCACTTACTGAATATATCTGCAGATCAAGCCACACTGATTCAAGTTCAGTTATCTAAATCCTGACAAAATGCCAAATTAATCTAAGAGTTTGGAACAAGARGCATTAACATTGCAATGACATTACTGACAAGTCAGAGTTGTGACTGGCAGAGCAACTGAAAACCAAGGACTCCTGTCAATTATTGTTATTTTCAAAGCGTGTTTGTATTCTTAAATCTGAAATGGCCTAAAGACATCTTAAAAATGTCATCAGCAAAYCAGCCTGTTTGTAAATTATCAAACTCACAGCCTCTGGAGCTTCTGCRAGGCTTTTTCAGAACCTCAAAAACCCTCACCAGCTGGTGTCAATAATTGGTATTCTCAAGACTACTGCTGCTACTTTGTTCTGGATCCTTTGACCCTGGAATACTGTTCCTTTGCTTTCCACAGAAGTCATCTACCAGAACACTTTCAACTTCATTCCTGACAGAACAGCCAGAGCAGGCTGAGCAGGGAAAGCCACTGATGCAATTCTGACAAGCTCAGATACCAWCCAGAGAAATTAGAACTACACAGACAATTTTTTTAACGTAAGCTTATTATGCAGTCCCTGGTGAAAGATATCAAAGCAATTGCCCATTACTGAATAAACAGAATGAAATGATAAAATCTGAAGRTATTTTCATGGCTTAGGTACTACAACAACTTAAAGCATTTTAAAACCTAAAGACCTGATTCAACATCTCCACCTACAGTGGCTCCAGAACAGCCATACATTAATCTTTACACATCAATTTCTYTTGGTAATTTCACTTAAAATAACTTATGTAGATTCCTCTGCCAGTCTGCAGAGATACAATGAATCCATGGAACAATTTCAGAAGATTTGCTACATTCAAAGTGCAGGAATTTGATACAGAGCTTTTTACAGAAAATCTGTACCTAGATTCCATTACACCAGAGCTGAATTTGCAACCCTAAGCAAGCCTAAGAACTTTGTTAAACRTTTCACCATTCTATACAAGACTAAAAGTCTTCAGAATCCAGTTTTGTAAATGTCTGCTGTAAGGAAATATTTAACATAGCTATGCTGGACAAGWAAAGAGGCAAATACCTAAAAAGTGCAATCCAAATTACACAGAATTGCAAACAATATGCATTAGCTTCGTACATGTACACAGGTCTTCCTAATACAGCCTCAGCCTAAGYAGAAACTTGAGACTTGAGCTGTGCTCCCCTGATTCCCAGTTATTTTGAAAGCTTACTACTTACAAATTCAGGAATTATCTGGAACTGTTAACAGCTGCTCTATTTAAAATCAAAAGGTGATACTCCTCTGAGTCCATCTTCTAAATGAGCTACAATTTGATATGTGAAACCAATTTTATTAATATGCTGGTTTGTTTTTTTGTTTTTTTTTTTTTTTTTTTTTTGTAGAGTGCTACCCCCAGAAGGAATGTATTGAAAACACTGGCTGGAACACAGACTGGAATTCAGATGGACACACTGGATTACAGCTTATCCACCTGCAAGATGTATTTCCCCCTCCCAAGAGAACCTGGTCTCCAGGTTTAAACTGGGGTGGTGTTTTTCTACCCCTGTCTCAGGGCAGTTCCTCAGCCTATAACCTCCAAACCTGCCCATGGGAAGTGGTGTTTCAATGGGATATGGAGCCTCTTTCACCCCCTTGCAGTGCAACAGCGGCAAAGAATTCACCACAGAACAGCTCAAGCCCAGGAAAATTGTTATTCACCCTACTTTTGTGATCCATCCCCACTGCACAGCATGAAGCAGTATCCCGAGTGTTTAAGCCCTTCCAACATTTCACTCTTATCTGAATTTCCAACAATTGACCCTATCCCAGTGGYTTTACTGTCACAGTCACTTGGCAGAGCTCTGCCACTGGCACACAGTGCMAGTGTTACACAGAAACAGTCTCTTCCTTCAGGATTATTTGAAGCTTTTCAGTTAAACTTTGGGAAATGGCAAACTAGGTAAGAAGTATGTAAGGAAGGAAGAATTGGCCTACACCACGTGCTGGACCCTAAACAGCAGCTCTGGGTGCTCCATGGAAACAGTGATGAACTGATAGCAACACACCTTCTTCATGAGAGGTAAACAGAAAATGGGGTTTGTGAAAAACCATGGAGAAAGGATATATTAATCAACTTTGAAGCACTATTTAACACTTCCATCGAGGGACAAGTAAGAAGAGGGAGAGACAGAATTAAGTCATTGGACATTGCACTGGTATAGGAACACTGAAAACAGAATGCCATTGAAGCATGCTAAGAAACACACTGAAGGGATTTTGTATTTGTGACTGAATCTTTTCTCTTACCCACTTTGAGTACAATGATCTAGAAATTACATTAATGTCATGGCCTTTGAGCATAAGAACATACCTGTTACCATTTTTAAACCAGAGAAACCAATCAACTTACCTCCATTAGTGTCTCCCTCAGATTTAATCTTTTTTCTATAAGTAGACCATGTTCCTTGAGGAATGTGCACAGGAACAAACTGAGATTCTGAATGAAGTTCTGTTCATCATCTTTTCCATTTGAGTATGCAAGTCGGATATTGGTATTTAAAGGAAGCATCTAATACAAGGAATACAGACATAATCAAGAATTTCCCTTTTTATACAGAACAACTCCTGTGTTTTAACAAATACCTTGCTCTCTTTTTTTTATCAACAACCTCCAAGATGGATCAACATTGCAAAGAGAGGAAAAGACTAAGAAAAAAACCCTTCCACTGCACGCCTGTAATACAAACACCATGAGGAAAGGACTCATTTACCTAATCTGAACTGCTCAGAGGGGAATCATCAAATTAAATCTATTTGATGCATAGTTTACTATATGAAAAACGTTTTTATCTGTTCCAAAAATAATGAGTAACTTGCAGAAGTTAGGTCAGTTTAGGTCTTGAGACACACAGTACATATTTCCCCCATCAGRCAGTCCAAGTGCTCAAAACATCTCTTGAATTAATCAGATCAATGCAGGAGAAATACAGCTGCAATCGAGAAAAATACACTTGGCATTTTCTGATAATGCAAAAAATATCACCAAAGAACAAGATAGCTTTTCCTATCAAGAGCTCTATAATGAGTATGAACCTGTAAACTCAACTAAGTTCTACAGAAACTGGTTTTGTGATATGAAAGCCAAAGAGAGATTTCTGAAAAAACATTTACCTGTTTTAACTGCATCATGGTCAGTGTAAAAAGTGTTACAAACTGTTCTTCATACTGGCTTACACTGACACCTGCAATCTCTGTGAGGCACTTCAAAGAGACATTTCGAAACATGGGAACATTTAAGAACTATTGAGAGAAAAAAAACAAGAGTATTACAGAAGTGTTGCACAGCTTTTGTGCAACTTGTATTTAAAGAGCTGTCATTTTTTTTGCAAGAATACCTTATATATTAGTGTGCTGATTAACTTGGTCTCAAATATATATCCCAGAGGAATCCAGTTCAGAAATCGTAGCAAGGTTTCCAAGGTCGCATGGACTAAGGGAGCATTTTGGGAGTTTTCCTGTAAATGACCATTAWGAGTTTAGGACGTTTTGATACTGTTAGGCACAAAGGGGGGGAATTTTGAAAATATCAATAAAGAAATATGACTTACCATCACAAACTGACACAGTTGGAATATTTGAGAGAATTCATTGCACATGCTATAAAAAATACAAAAAAATTTAAAAACTAAGCATTCCATGTTTCTTAAATAAAAGTATCTCTATCTATGCACACAGGACAGGTCCTGAAGACCTATGCCCATGGAGGCATTCAAAAGCCACCTGGCTTTTCCCCATTTTCATGGTAATAATTCATATTTGAAGTAACTTGAAGCCTGTGCCCGCGAATTCTAAGAATCAATCATCCTCTGTTAGAAGGGTAGAAAGCATCAGTTAACAGATGCTACTTGCAGCAAGGTACAAATCCCTGTGTGTACAAAATAAAGTTAGGGATCCCCTAGGAGTACTGCTTCAAAGAAAAATCAGTAACCCTCCTGGGCTGAAAAATGGAATTACACATCTGTAAGTGTTCACACAAGGGGTCTAAGTGAGAGCATTTGGCAGCAAGCACATCATCTACCCTATTCAGTAAGATTTACACAGATATACTTGCCTGTCTTTYAAATGCTTAGCTTTTACTTGAGTAATCTGGCCACTGGAAAAATCAAACACTTCTTCACTCAGCAGTTTCAGGATCACCATGTTGTTCTGACAGAGGCTCTCGCTGGTCCTGCTGGCTCCCACAATATCGCTGATGAACGTTGGCCAGTGCTTGGGCCACTCCTGTTTCAGGATCTGCAAAGTGAAGCAGCCACGTGAGACACACAGTCAAGTCAGAGACTTGATAATAATAATTAAAATGCTACAAACTCTRGCTTACCTGAACAAGAATCATATTCAGTTTCCCAATATACACTTTCTCTTTCTGGAGAAGAAAAGAGAACAATCAGGTTTTGCATAACACTCCCCTCCCTCATTCTCCCCTGAGAATTCTTCACTTACTTCTACACACGTTGGGTCAGATGAGGTCTTGATAATTAGGCCAACAACGTATTTTTTAATACCTGCAGAATAGGTAAGAATTTATTTTCAGCTATGCCAGATATCACAGGTGTAGCTACAAATATTTCTGAATCAAATTATTTCATGTTTTTTAAACAAGAAACATCTCTAAGGACCTGATAAATGTGTCACTGAGAATCCTTACGTGCTACATGGAAAACACACCTTTATCAGTTCTGATGGCATATTTTACACATATGAAATGGCTTCAYACTTGAATTATTTCAATAAACCAAAAGGAAAACAGACTAAGGATTAGTGTGTCCTTGCAATAATTTGTACCAGATCAAAGTGAGCTCCAAGAATAAATGTTTTTTGCATGACTCCAGTTTTAATGCCGAGTTTGTTAAAACTGCACTAAAAAGCTTTGATGCACCACCTGCACTGCACGTGGAAGTTGTTAGAAGCTCCAGTCTACTCAGGTAATCCACTCTAAAGACAGGAATTTTTATGCACAACATTTCAAAGTCAAAAACTGTGCCAAAGCTTAGAAAAGCTTCCCCTGTGCAATCTTACAAGACCAAAACTTAAAACTTCATTCATTAATACAGCACAATTAATCTGAGTGTGAATTACTGCACTTCTGTAGCACATATGGCTGCTCTGAGTCCACAAACTCTTAATAAATTCTACTTTATTGCTTCTTCTTTTCTTTGCTTGCATTGGCAATTCACAGCCTGTTTAAATCAATCATTCATTTTGTTACATTTCTTCTACAAATGTTTTTGAATTTTGAGTTTTCGGCTCCACCGTAGAACCAAAAGACCCTTGACCACTAAGTTTCATTTTGCCACCAAACCCTCAGGTCACTCCTAATTACTTAATCCACAGAACCGATTTGCCAGGTGACAATATCCATGTCTAAAACCATTCCGTACAGAAACACCCATCTCCCAGGAAAAGCCACACACAGAGGGCCTGGAGTCACGACCCAGGTGAATATTCCAGGAGTTCAGCTCCGACACCATGCTTCAAACTGGGCAAGTGCTCTCTTGTCATAAGGAAGTTTGAGAATTGGTGGATGCTTTGCTATTCAAATTCATGAACTCAGAAATCTTGTTTCAATCATTTCTTCAACAAGACAAGTCAGCTGACTCATGCAGACAGCATGCACATGTTGAAGGCTTCAGAAGTTGCCACTTTAAGAAGAATGTCTTCTCTTCAAGACATAATCAGCAGCCTGTTTTAAGTTTTAAAGCTTGTCTCAGGCTTGACCAAATTTAGTAATTTTTTTTTTCATTTCAGACTTAAGCAACAGGATTAGAGGGGACAGTTTATTTATTGCATCCTCATGAAATCCGGAAAAACTAGATCCAGACTTTGAGCCATTAGATACATACTAGACAGGAGCTGTTCTACAGGTAGYTCCAATTACAAGTGGAACTATTMATCATCATCATCATCAWCTGGGATCAATCCACATTTCTCCAGGAGAATTATCATTAATAAACTAAGTATCACTGTCAGTCACTGGGTAAGAGTTATTACCAAGCACTGGTCTGACACCACAGGCCTGATCTGACATGCTAAAGCTAAAACACACACTTTGCTGAAGCATATCAGTAAATCACAAATGARATATGAAAGCCCCCAAAATACTATGGAAATAGGATTGCAGTGCCAGAAACAAAACTATTATAACCATCTGCCAAGCCACTAAGGGAAGCCTACTGTTGCAACTGTTTGCATTCCAAAAAGGAATTAAAAAGTTAATATTGTTCTTAGAGTTCTGACTGCAAATCCATGGCATTTCCATCTTGCTTCGTCAATGGTATTGTGCTATTCAGTAACAACTTGAATATTGTGCTGCCATCGATCTGGCCTTGAGACCAGCAGAGAACAGCTGCTCTGCTCCACAGCTCCTCCATTAGAAAAATAAAAATAAAGAGGGTGACCACAGCTCAAAAGACAACCTAGAAAGTTTCCTACTTGTCACACATCATGCTGCAGGCTCCTGAAGTTGTCCATCCAATGAACAAAGTCAAATTTTAAATCCCTTAAAAGCAGTAGCTATCAAATTCTCTAATGCACTTTTTGGCTCAGATGTAATTTTCTACTTTTTTTTTCTTTTACTTCAAGTGTTGTGGTTTCTGCTCCGTATTTAGCTCATTTCTCTATCATTCCATAGGAAAGATAATTCTCAGCAGACCAAATACATGTCAAATTTATATTCTGATAAAAAATCAACCCAGAGGCTCATTATCATTTTTCAGCAGAACATGTCCAAGAAACTTTTCAGGGGCAGTAATCCATGGGATAAGCTAAAAGCATTGTGTACAGGGAACTTAAAAGTGTTATGTTAACGGGGAAGGCACAGGACATACACAAGCCCCACAACCACTGCCTGGAAGGTCTCCTTCCATCACAGAAGCAGCCGAACAAGTCTTGAAGATGCCCAACAACACCACTGCCAAGTTCAGGCCCTTCACTAAGCCAAGCAGGAAGAGACAGACAGTGCTGGAAAACAAACCTTCCAACAAAACTAATTGAAAGCCACACCAACCACAACACCCAGGACACACAAAATGTTCTTCGAAGATCAGCTGACCTTACAACTGCACCGACCGCAGCACAATCTGCAACCAAAGGGAGCAGATCCTGCTCCAGGCCTGGAACAGCATTTTCCAGCAAGGGAAGCCCAAGAAGTACTTTTGTATAAAGCACCATAAAAGGGATGATACAGCAAGGGCATGAACTCGAGGCCTTTTAGAATATTCCTGGATGCACATTGGACACTGTTATCCTTCTGTGAAAGTTGCTCCTCGATAGAGAGGCAAACTTCCAATAAAACTGAAGGGAGGGAAACACTTCCTGGAGGGAAAGTTGTTCTCCCAAGTGACCTGAGCTATGCAATGCTTGGAGTGGAACTGGGACAGAAAGGAACATCATGTTATCCAACGTGAGTAATTTCTGCAGCCTGAACTTGAGGAAATATCCTAGGGTTTAACCTTTGGATGTGCTCTAGGAAGCCATTACTTCTCCTGTACTCTCTGTACCCTGAGCACAGGAGTTCCTGTCACAGCCCAGTACAGCAGGTAAATAACCATGGACACAATCAGCAAACACATACCTGCAACAAACCCACTTCTTGTCCTCAAGGCACACAAGCACAGCCTCCTGTGCAGTCACAGAGCACAAGCATTTAACWAGTGTCAAAAATTATTCTAGCTGGTGCTGCAAAAGCAAGTTCGCTCTAATTTACTAAAMTTAATAAATTCTTTGCTTATATTAAAGAATAATAGGCATAAATGAATCAYGTGGGCAATGTAACTCAGCAAATTAACATTATTTTGCAATCAAAATTAGAATTTCAAATGTAAAAGCTGAACTGTCCCCTCTGGGGATGTTTGTATGCACAAACACACTGAACTGTTCAGCTCCAAAATGTGGTCAAAATACCATCTTATTTTTTGTCGTAAGAAACAATGCTTTCCCAAAAAATCCCACAAATCATCTTTCCCCCTTAGTGGTGAACTGAACCAATCCATAATCGATTTGCTTTTCAACAGAAAACTTTGAAACAGGCACAGAGTTTGTCTTCACAYACACACAGACGTGCCATATAGCATCCCTCCTTCATTACGGAGAACCAAAGAAACATCTTCCTCATGAAGCAGACCAGGATTTCCATTAAAATATCTCATCACTGCACAGAAAAACCTTCTCTCTACAGTAGCTTCCACTGCATCAACAGCTTTACACTTAACTCCAGGATCTTCCTGGAAAGCACTGAGCTGCATCTCTGAACACTTCACTTTTTCATTTCAGAATGAGAGAAGTTGTACAAGCAATTTGTGTTTCATAATGAAGAAGTGCTTTATCCATTCCAACTCCAAACACTCCAGACAAGCTTGCTCTGTTCAGAGGAACCATATTTCATTACACAATGCAGGATTAATGAAACCTATCACTGCACTAAAGACCAAAATGCCTTTCTTTCCAGGGCAGGTTTTCACATTGCCAGAGAAAATCCTTTTGAGACCAMAGCACTTTAATCAAATGACATCCTTTCTGAGTATTATTAAACAATCAGCTCTAAAGGATATTGGAGTTTAAAGCAATTTAGTATCCCACCTTAATAAGCTGAGAACTTCAACTTGAGAATGATGGCACAATACCCTGGCAATCAGCCAAGTTCAGCACTGCCTGGGATGTTCTGGAATACATCACCTGCCTCAGAGAGGCCTGAATGAAAACCACATGACATCATTTGTGTACCTGTAAGAGCCATTCCAAGTACTCTCCTGAGGACTGAATAAATCACACTGAGCATGGCTAACCCAGTTTTGGGGGCTATATCCAAACACGTCTCAAGGCTCAACATGCAGGCCAGAAATCTGAATTTAACCCCTTCTGTCACCCATGAACTCCACTTTTGTCTACAAAATAAACTGGTTCAAAATGCTAACTTCTAAAACAAACAAAAAAATCAAGAAAAACAAAACACAGAGTAATTGCATCAGTATTCTAAAATTGTAAGTTGATTGTTTTGYCCAATTCCTGTTTCAGAATAATGGAAAGATAAAAATGAACTCTTCAAAAGTGATGACAACACTGGAGGAAGAGAAAGCTGGTTCACCAAAGTTAAAAGGTAGCAGAGYCAGAAAAGCTCAAACACAAAAGCTATTTTAAAACAAAAGCCAACTTCAGAACAGAGTTTCAAGTCTGAAGAACACATCTGAAGAAAACATTTTCCTCCTTGCATTTGAAATTCCAGGCTGGAAGCTGAAACCTCAAAGCATTCAGACAGAAGCAGGAGCAAACCTCTGGCTAACCTCAAGGACCAACAAGTCATTCTGATGTACAACTTGTTAAACAACAACAACAAACCTGTAAGAAAAGTTACAGTTCAGGCTCTGTATTGACAACATTGCTTTATTTCTCCTCAACAAGTTTCAGGGATATTGTTTCAAAAACTTTTTTTGTTCACTCACCATTTAATTCAGGTCAGCTCTTGACTTTAACTCTTAAGCACTGCTGCTGCTACAAAGGGGGAACAATGTTTTTCTCATAAAAACATTTCGTTTCCTCTTAACCGACACTAAGATTTGTCAGCAGTATTTACTACACAAACCACCCAGACATCCAGAAGACATCTTTAAGACATTAAGATAAAAGGTAAAACTTTGAAACCTGCATGATYTGCTTTGCATGTTACTAAGCACCTCTTTGTATACTGAGTTTCAGTTTCCTGCACACACATTCCAACAGTTACACTTCAAACAGGAAAATCCCGTCAACGTCAACCAAAGGATGGCTGGAGTCAAGGAAACCTCAATTTAACCAGCCTTACTATCTCCCAGGTAATCAAGCCACCTGAATGAGCTCTGGAGCAGTTCTTTTGTACCAGCCAGTATCATGAGCCAAATAAAAAAATTAAAAAACAACCACCACAGACCAGATCAAACTGGATTAGAGATGAAAGAGATTCTCCCTCCTACACCACTGAGGCCAAGCTGGATAAAATGCCATGGGTACAGTAAATACATTTGGTTCCTCTTCTACCACACAAGTAAAAGCCAGCTAACCCAAATTCCCTAAAACAGGATAAAAAATAAATTTCACAATTTTAATTTGGCTCTGTTCAAGGGAAAATGTTTTAAAARCTGAGCAAACAACATGTTAGTATAAAGGATTTTTTGATTTCCTCTGGAGCTTTCACAGGTATGCAAGTCAGGAAAAGTAAGAATAGAATACTTCAAGATGATTACATAACTACAGACAATAACTTTATTATGCCTTTTAACATATGGAGTTATTGCATCTTCTCAAGTGGAAGGAACCACTGTAACACCATTGTCACTGTTAAGRAAGAGATAACATGACCCAAGTGCTGCCAGCAACAATCTCAGCCTACCATCACTATTTCTCAGCTCCCCTATGCATTAAGAGCATGAATTTTAGGACTTMTAATTCCTGAAGTACATCCTGTATTTGGCACTTGTTCAGTTCCAAACTATTATGTACATCCCTGTGAGATCTACTCTAATACACCTCTCCCTTCACCAGTGGGCAATACAACTAACTCCTTTGCTCCTGTCCTGCTCCCATAGCCAAAAATTAAGGAAAACAACCACCAACTGCTGAAACAAAGTGCTCACAGCCAAGAATGTAACAAWATATGACTAAGCTGAGACACCCCAATAATTATGAGCACAAAGAACAGTTCACTTTAACTCAAAGGGGCATAGTTGTGTCCGAGCCTTAATTGAAGCTGYTCCCTTGAAACCTCCAACAGCAGAATAAATGGAAACTTCACTTTAGGTTTTACTTTCAAAGACAAGTCAACCTATGTCTTTTGTCAACCTATAGTTGGAAGGAACGGACGAAAGGTGAGAAGAGGAATAAGCACAAAACTGTAGAAGTCTCTCTCTGTGCATTTGCTTTCATTAACACTTAAAATTCTGTTTTAATTAATATAGTTTCAGAACCTAAGCACTGGCAGTAAAAATGTAAAGCATGTCTCAGYATGGTTAATAAAAGCTCACAGCAGAACACAGAAACCTGGAATAATTTCAATTAGTTCCAAAACCAGCTTTTAGTAAAAAGCCAAGTACAGAATAGCGACAACATTCAACGTCAAGAATTTTAAGTGGTTGCACTTAATGTTTTGAAGTCCAAGTTGATGACTTGACAGCAAGCCATGTGAATAAGTATTAACCCTGCACCACAGGGGTACCTCCATATACTGCTGCCAATATCTGAAAGTCAACAACATTGGAAGCTACAGGAGAGGGAAAAACCCATAAACCAAACACAGCATTTCTTTTAAGACTTCCAGCTTCCTTGCATTGATGGAAGACTTGGGGTTACCATACACTGCAATTACAGCAATCTGCCTGTATATACACTTAGATGAATTAAACCAAACTGCACAGTATCTCACTGCCTAACAGAATGAGTGACCACCAATAGGTAAGAAAGTGCATTTACTTAGTGTTTCAATTTTAAAAGCACTGTAGGCTGCTTACRACTCCAAAACAATTACACACATCTACACATGGTAGCAAGTGGACCACAGAGTCTACTAGAAAATGACAGAACATTGCTGGGGTTGCACACACAGCTCAGAGAGGGGGAAGAAAACCTCCTGTGCCATGTACAGACAATCAAAACTTCTGCCTCAAAGCCAGGGGCTCACCACAGATGTCTCAAAACTATCAAATCTCTTGCCCAAATTTACAGAATTTCAGCTGCACACCAACCCACTGAGACTACTAACACAAAAGGGAATGATGTGGTTTCATCATTCAAGAGCTCAGATGGTCATAACACATGACAGAAAGTTACTAAAATTGTGCATTTGAAGCTGAAAATTAGAGATTGACGGTCTAAATCTCAGTTAATATACAAATTTATGAGGGAAAGACAAAAATCCCTCCCTACCTTCGCACTGGTTCCTTGGAAGAATCTTCCATCTTGTTTTTATCACATTTTCCAAGATTTGCAGTCCATAATACTGAAATTGGAGAAGGACAACATGTGAGTACATTACTGTAGGACTAACCAACTTGCAGGACTCTCATTCAATCAGACATTCACACTTAATATCTAAGACTTCAAGATTATTAAACTAAAAATTTTATTAAATATATGACTATTCACCCATTTACTGAGGTTTCATGCATTGCATTTTCTTGTTTCATTCTTGGCTATACTAAGTCCTGCTGTTTGATCATGCTCACACCAGGAGGGGGGAAAAACAATAATGAAAAGGCCTCTGGCAGACAATTTTGGCTATCTGGAAAAGTTGCAGCCAGATATGAATTTGTATCATAAATGACTGCTCCTAAGTTTGAGTATTAACCCAACCAGGCTCCTAAAATATTTAGCAGCTTGGATGGTATCTCAAGCTTCCTATTGTTCCTCTAAGAGCTGGAAAAAAAATCTTGTCTTAGCATCACATGTCCTGACACTGGCACTTCTAGAAAAAGTATTTCCCAAACTTCACTGGTGTGTTACTTTAGGAACAGCAAGACAACCCACAGGTTTATTTAATTTCAATACCCACCCCAATATGGCAGCTATTTCTACTATTTAAAGATGAACTTTTGTGCTCAGTCAAAGAACAGTAAAATGTGAATAAGCTCTTGAAAATCATTTTACCTTTCAGGAATTCCTTCCTATGTTCTTACCCAAAACCATTAACGTTGCAAATAGCCATTCCCTCTGCCCATTTGTCCCTACTGCCAACTCACAGTAACAGGGAAAGGAGTTTATTATATGATCAAAGAACTTCAATATGTAAAACCCCATTAGCATGAATAGACAGGAGAGAAAAGGGGACAAGGAGTTTTGCATTTACGTTATCTGCAGTGGATTAGGAAGAAAAAGTCACATCAATGCCTGAAAGGTAAACTCAAGTTTTCACAGTTCCAAGTTTGGCTGAGAATAAGAGTTCCTCTTTAAAATGGTTAGTTGTTACACAAAGTAGGATCATTAGCATTTCGACCAAAGGGATCATAGAGACTTCAATTTAATTAAAAAACACAATGTAGACTGTCCCAAACTACATTGTATTATAAGAGCATTTTTGCTGTTTTCATCTTAACATAACCTACATCCCTCTGCTTCTCTATCTGATCCCAGTTTCCAGGAGATTTCAGGTGCACATCCTGCATTTGCAAAATATTCTCTTCCCCTTCCACAATCTTGGGCAAGAAGAAAAATTATGAATTACAGAAAGTTGGCAGGTATTTTTATTTCCTCCATTGTCAGCAGCAAAAGCTGATCAACTAGATTTTAACCTGTGAATGGATTTAATTACGTAACATAAAAGCTAAATGAAATCAAGGGAATTTTCATGAAGGAAAACGTGCAAAAACATTCTTAAGCAAAATGCTTCACAGGAAGTGATTTCAGCCACYGCTAAAAATTTACAGACACCATCTGCAACTGATCCAGCCTCATGATACAAAACATACTTACAAAAGCTCCTAACAATGTTGACAGTATGAATATTTATATCAGACAGTGCTAACTTTCCTGAATCACATCTAAACTCACATGAAATTTCTATGTTCTACAGGCACACACATTAATTTTTCAGGTACCAGCCTACTAGAAATGTTCATTTMGCTTCCAAACTCTTTTCCACAAGTAAACTTACTTAGCTTTTACATCAAAAGGGCAAGTCTAGGTTCATTTTAAATAAACACTATATGACCAAATGAAACTTAAATGAAAAATCTARCAGACTAAGGACAGACCTCATCTTTAGTGCGTTATTCCCTCACTTAGAATTTCCTCGAGTCAAAGAAAAGGACAGACACCTCTAGCAATCTGCCAAACCTACCCCTCAGTACCTGCTCAAACATACCATTTGGGTTCATGGACCTTAAACTGTTCATGCTTTAAAGGTTTCTACTCATTCTTTTGTACATGTGTGACTTCAGTTCTGCCCTCTGCCGTGTCTTGTTCACTTCTTCCTCAGTCCTAAAAATATTCCTTTTCCTTAACACCTGCATGTGACACTGAACAGCAACAGCAGTAAAATCCCTGCATACAACCCTCACCTGCACACCCTCCTGGCCACACCACSTTGGAAGGGCTCCATCAGCCTCAATATCCTGCAAGGGGCCTTGTGGGGTTTTTACTTTGTTTTATTTGATTTGACAGTTCTAATTACTTTTGTTTCTCTGATAATGACATGCACCACKAATCAAACACATCACTGATACAAATTACAAAGTTCTGCTCTAATCAACTACAGCAACGGTACATATGAACGCAACTGTGTAAGACAGAAGCCTTTCAAAAACTCATTTGCTCCTGGTTTGCTTGTGGCTAATTGTCTATCACTTATTCATTGCCCCGTTATGAAGATGAGGGACAGGCAACAGCAAAGACTCAAAAAAAACCACATTAAATGATCCCTATGGTAGAAATTTCTATGGCACCCTTATTACTTATTTTATGCACCAAATCCCTTTCCCTCCCACCTCCCAAGAAACAAAAAACAATTGATGAACAGAATTCAGTTAAAGGGAATCAAAAGGGTAGACCTTGTGGAGGCCTGCCGTCAAAGCCTAGCTGTGTCAGTTGCACAGGAAGACACCCCTTTTCTTCCTATTACAAGCAATCAACATAATGGAACATTATGATTAATATCAGGTAGTGTTAACAGCTTTAATTAAAGAAAAAATATGATTGCATAAAAGCCAAATGTCATAGTGCATAAATTTAGCACCAAATCATTTGCAATTTATGTAAATTGAAGAATTCTTTACCTGTTGCTTTCTTTCTGTTCCTCTAATCATCTCATTTTTCACAAGACAAATTTGAGTTTTTAAAAATACTGTTGATAAATCAACTTAAACATTAGTAATGTCTGTCAGTACAAAAAGCAAAGTTTACCAGGCAAGCAAACAGGCAAACACTGTTACTTAAAGGTGCTTAAAGGTGTTACTTTGAGGAAGTTCTTTAAACTGTTTTCCCCTCAACTTCAGAGAGCAATGAAAAAAAATATGAACTGCTTCATGAATACCACATGATTTCAGAAACCATCCAAACACAATTTTTTCTGTTTGAACACAGTGTGTATCCAGCAGAAAAACATGCATGTCAGTTATTTGAGATAATAATCATCAAACTTAAGACAGTGAAAACACTCTGATCATCTTTTTGGCTCAAACTTTACAAGTCTTAGGTAAAGCATTTCAAATTGCAGAAAAGGCCCTGAATTCTGCCCATCTTAGCCTCTACMATAATGGATGGATTTCCAACAGCAGCACAAAGAAAATTCTGTGTAGTAGCAAAGAACTGATCTTGTACTACAAACTGTGGGGTGCTTAACCTTCAATGATTGCTCAGAACGTTGGTCTAGTAAGGTTTGTTTTGTCTTTAACACACCTAGGGACACATTTTCTCCTCAGTTACRTGCACATGGCTTTCATTATGATCACAAACAGCCAAGCACTTACCCAAGGATAAAATGTGGCTCTAGGAGACCTTTTATTATTCATATTTATATAGACACAAAACCAGTCTTGGGAACTGGCATAATGCTTGTATGTGCTTTCAAAAAAACTGTGTATCCAATTTACCTCATCCTCAAAAAAAAAAAGGGAGAAACTCTTGTCAGTGTAAAAGGAGGTCTGAATATTTTTTTCATTTACAGTTCTTGTTTAAAGCCAACTTTGAGAACAAGACAAAAAAATGTGGTTTGAATCAAGAAAGTCTACATCTAAAAATGAGATACCTTCCTCAAAGTTTATGAATGGAAGAAAGAGGAAAACCAAATAAATAAAAGTTAATTTGCTTACTTTGGTATTCATGTTCTGAGAGAACTCCAAAATAGTATCAACTCTTGTCCACGCATCAGGATGTTCTTTTAAGTGAGTCAACACTTCTTGTGCCATTCTTTGCTGAAAGAAAATTTGATTTGAAAAAGTRTTAGCATTATTTAAGTTATATACCGTCAGTGAAGATATCAATATGTAACATTTCATTTAAATTACTTATCTAAGAGTTAGGCAGAACTCAACCAGCAGCAAGTCCCTTAAGCCTCTTTCTGTGACAGCTGAAGTTTAGTAACAACCAAACTCCAAAAGCCCATTGATGCAGGACAGCAATTACTCAGTTCCACTCTTCCACACTGAATGATTTACCCAGACCAGCAGTGAACGTGCAAGAACAGCACACAGTATGAGGAAAACCTACTAGGCAATGAAATTTTCTCCCCTTCCACAAAGTCCTCTAGATAAAATTTCAATCTAGGGCACCCAAACTTTCTAGTTCCATTGGAAACACTCATATTCAAGGACTGTTTCATGCTGCAAAGTTATTACTGTAGAACTGCTGATTTTATTTTAAAGAACCACAGAGCAGAGCATTAGAGGTCTCCAATCCCTACTTCTGAGGAAGCCTTGGTGTACCTAACAACCTACAAAACCGTAATAAAAACCTACTGGTGGAAGGAAGGGAGCTGGTCATGCTAATGGTTTGCTCTTCCTTGGGACTGACATTACCAATTACTGTCCTAGATATAGTGATTTCTTGAAAAGCTCATCTGAAGCAATTACAAACTGAAATAGCCAAATTCATTTTAGCCATTCTTTTCAAAAGCCTGGATATCCCTGAGCATTTTTAGGGAGCCAAACTGATGTCAGCCATTTCCAAAAGTGCAGTGTACTGACAAATCTTGCTGCACATTGCATCCCCCACAAGCATCAGACGCTGCCTTACCAACAGRATTGACATTTTACAATACAATTAACAGAACTTACTTTACTCTTTCACTGCACTGTAGAGCCAATTCAACAGACTAACAGAGTTAGACCAATTAAAGCTTTACTTGAGGATTAACTTCAACAACTAGTACTTACTACAGCCATGAAGATTTCTAGTCTCATCCAAGTATGAACCTGAGCTAGTCATTAATTGGTGTAAAAAAAYATGTATCTTCAGTTACTTAGAAATCCAATCAAGACCCAAAACCTATATATATAAGATACAAGAAACTGACAAATTTGGCATGAGATTTAAAAAATAAAATTGGAGGTTCCAACAGAAAAGAGCAAGGATGCCTCAACTATCTGCACAATACTACTTGCACCCCTACTTGATATGAGCACAGTAGAGCAACTGGACCAGCAAGTAAGTCGCTGCAGATTTGTTATGGGCCAAAAAAAAAAAAAAAAAAGAAAACCCACCACTTTTAACACTTTTAATACACTTTAGTTTTAAGAGAGAAGGAACAGGCATATTACTTCGAGGTTCAACATGCAAGTGTGTTTATATATTGACCTYCTGTTTGCTTCTAATACTGATGACATATCCCAGGATCCAATTTCAACACCTACAGAATACAGACACTCCATATCCTTCTCCCAACACTAAGAGTTTGCTCTCATACCCACTAAACCCTTTTCTGGACATCAAAGCCTGCAGTTTCACAAACAGTATAAATTTAATAATAATGGTTAATCAAGAACAAAGCCTCGTGGTGTTGCTGGTACCAAAATGAAATTCACAAATAATCTTTCTGGATGTRTGAAGATCTAACAGATCAATGGAACTAAGAGGCTGGGATGAGTCCAGGTAAACATTTATGAGTTGCATGAAATCTCCTTAGTCATGTGTAGCACTGGGTGGGGACATTCTTTCTTTCCAGAGAAGCATACCCMAAAAAAACTAAGAGAAAAAAAAAAYCTCTAGGACAGAAAATAGCTTCTTTCTTGCCTAATATAGATCAGCAGATARCAGTTTTGCAAGCAGAGATAAGAACTAAGCAGAAGGAGGAGACAGGTGAATCTGAAAGCAAGTTCAGCACAGGCCATTCAGGTTGCTTTCTAAACCTGTTTTACCCTGACATTACCCTGACCTATTCCAGGAAAACCACTGATAATCTCCCAATTTTAATRTTTAGCTTCCTCAACTTTTATTATTCCTGTCACCCTTTAGGATGGAACTTGAGCTGTCAGACTCCATAGAGGACCATTTYTTCCTGAAGGAACTTTTGAACCCCCTTGAAGAAGGAAAAGCCCAGACTCCCTGAAATGTCTTCTCTCTGGAAACATAGTAAATAGCTAACCAAAAGTTTCATTGAGGTGACGCGTATTAGTACATGCATACAACAGAAGTTTATATCAAATTTACTTCTGCCAGTTAAACACCACCTCTTGAATTTTTGCTTCCTTTTGCATTAATTTTCTAAAACAGGAGACTTTTTCCAGCTGTTTGAAGTGAAGCAATTTCTCACAATGCCAGAACAATGGCAATTTGATCATTGTATTGAGTGTAATTCCCTTGTTTTCCTTACAAACCTCCCCAATTCTTTCAACTCTCTTCAGACCAAACAATACTATAAGTATCACCTATTTTGTAGGGCAATAAAAGAGCACAAAATAAGTGCTATAGTCCATACTTTTAAGGCAAAAGCTACAARGAGTTTTCTGTCCTTCAAGCACTTAAAAAACTACAGCAAGTAACTACTTGAATTTAGGACACTCAAAATGCAAATATTTTAAAAACCACAGTATTTCAAAACCTGTTGGAATTCACATTAGTAAGCTTTACAATGGCCCTTTTTTCTTTAGAGATACACAAAGCAAATATAAGCAAGTATATCATTGTTTATTCTAACAGCTGGAAAGAATAGAAAAGCATCAGCTACTTTGTCCCATTTAATTCACTTATTGTTGTGCAAGACTATCTAAGTAARAGATGCCTGACACTGAAACTCCCAATTTGTTGAGCCTGAACAATTAAAATCTGCTAGAAGAAGGAACTATGCCAATACCCTTGTAGCAATACTTGCTCCCAGCATTTAAGTCTCGTTTCCAAAGTAGCTCAAGAAACAGATAAAAGCAATACAAGATTCACTTTCAAGGCAACATGCAAACACACAAATGCACAGACCCTCTATTTCAACTTATTAATTCACAATCTGCACTAAGTCCRAAGAAAAGAGTGCAGAAGAACCTGTGCAAACTGTAATGGGAAATTAAGAAGACCATAATTCAGACATAAAATGGGAACAAACTCTTCTATTAAATATGCATGACATGTTTCTTTATAAATACATCCCAGTAATAACATTACTGTAAAGACTTTTCTTTTAGATACAATTCTTCACTGAAGCCAACATTAAGTTTATGGCTTCACAATCCTGTCTATGGTAACAACTAACAGGTAGCTCAGACCTTCCTGAAGAACTAAGTCAGTAAARGTGAGCTGCAGGCAGAAGTGTCCTTACCAAATTGTATTTGCTAACAATTCTCAACAGCAAAAGGCAAGCTAGAAATGAACACACACCAAATAAACGTTTTTCCAAGTGTCATTTCAATGTGAACTCACATTTCACGTGACTGCCAGTGATATTCCAGTCACTAGCTCAGTAAATTCACTAATATTACTGATTGTTATTGAAGTTAATTGATTTTGCTCGGCTGATTTGCTGTAAGGTTAAACATGGTCAATAAATGTAGGTTCCAAGTCCACCTTACCTGTGCACCTTCTCCATGGTACAAGCAGTTCACCACATTGTCCAAGAGATTGATATCCAGTTTCTGGTTAAAATCCAGCAGCTGACGAGCTGCATGGTCTGCTAACATTGTCATAATTGCTGGCATAGATTACTGCAAAATAAATTTTAAAAATTTGATCAATTAATAGGAAATTGTTATCAGATGCAGCTGCAAAGCACGTACTTCAACTTAGCTCACTTGAGATAAAACTGAATACAACACTGCTTTGATTGTGGGGCACATACAAGGACCAACTTCCCTTCTCTCTGAAAAATTCACAATCACTACCCAGCTCAACTCTCAGGTTCTTCAACAGGTAAAACACAGTATAATAGTCAGACTAGAGAATGGGCTCTTATCAGCACCCTAGGACTTATTTCAAAGCAGGCATCAACCCCTACCAGTCCCTGTACACATTTGCTGGTAGAAAAGCCTTGTGTCACTACATCCAAAACCCATACTGGCAATCTCAGCGAGTATCAAGTTCCCAAGGCCAACAAGCACATTCAGAAGATCAGTTCCAAAAGCTTTTAAACTCTTGGGTAAGGAGGTGAAACGTGATCTACWCACAGAGCAAGAAATTAGCCAGAGGGCATTTTTCAAATAGTTAGGGGAAAAAAGAWAACCACCTTACAAGTTAACCACATACAAGTAAAAAATTACCATTGAAACTAAGTTGACTGAAGGCACTTTGAGAACATAAAGCAAAGGGACTGTTAACTCAGCAGGTTACTCCATGTGCCACATGAGATCACTTCAAACTTAAATGGAATTCTGCTGGAGGTTCCAGGTCCCCTAATCCCAGGGACACATGCATTAACTCTTTGTCCTAAATAGAGCAGCTTTGATATTATGCAAAGGGAGTCAGGTGGGGCGTGCATGTAAGATTCTTTACCAGCCAGAGACTGGTGCAAGATAAAGACATTCGTGAAAAGCAGAAAAACAATCCAGAAGCCACAGAATTTTCATTGGTAAGTTATTGCTCTACCTTTTTCACACCATCCTCCCCCACACTGGAAACACCTAATCAAGTTTATTGCCCTCTTCTCACTGTCAGTGGCAGTGTAACACATATTCCCACCCTACCACCTACAGCACCAGTCTCATATTCCTTTTCAAACCCTGTAAACCTACAAATCTCACATAAAACTGCTCACTTAACGAACAGCCAGAAGTCTGGACAAGTGCAAGATCAATCAAAAAGTTATACCAGAGCCATCTGCATACTCAGAAAGACAACCTGAAACTCTTCCAGAAACACACCCCATAAAGTCAGATTTGCTCTTACTAAATAATTCCCTGTGTAAGTAAGAATTTGTGCTTTATGTATTTAAGTCATGCTCAGAAGTAAGGAGCAAGACAAACCTGTGCCTCAACCCTAGTAATTACTAATTAAGTGAAAGTCTTACAGCAGCATTCACACAAGAAAAATCTTTTGTTTAGAAATGTGTATTTGCAAGTAATGTCAAGCAATTTCTTTTACTTCTATATATAAGTAACAAATATTTTAATTGAATTTTCAAGTAGAAAATTCAGTATTACTACAGAAACATAACCATTTTGAGGGCTCCATCTCAACATCCAGTCAAGTCTTTCTACAACATGTACCTGGAAAACCAGAAGAAACAAGTACAGAACATAACATTCCATGCCAGTTCTTCCCTCCTTCAACTCCAAATGATTTCAAAATTGAAATGCTAAGTTTGGAACCAAGAAACACAACAGCGGGAAAGGCTGACTTTATTTCATTCTTTTTACTCAGGACTCTGAAAATATCACCTGGCAGACAAGTGAGCAGCACCACTAGAAGGAAACTGCACCCATGAAGAGTCTCAGAGTGGTTAATGCTCCCCCCAGTCACTCGTGCTCCCAGGCACGCCCCTTTTTGTCCACATCTGGCCTCCACGGCTGAACCGTGAGCCGGGAAAGCGGTTTCCAAACTACAATAAATATCGCGAACCAGTCGCTTCTTAGGTAGCACCATTCATTTCAGACCTGAACCTCTTCCGGTGGTTTTCAGGCCGCCCTGAGAGCCCCAAGGACGAGCAGCGTGACCAAGAGAAGTTATTCACCACATGGAAGCAGAAAGGAAATGTTTTGAATAGGGCCCTTCGCCACTCCCAGCATTATCTTCAAAATGACCTACCTACTTCGCCAGCCGAAACACAGAAATGGCGGCTTTGTGGCCAACACCAACTGCAACCAATTCGATCTCCCACTCCTAACACCGTACCCACATGAAGCTCATAATCTCTGATTTACTGTACTCCTACACTTTTCCCTCCCCCATCAGGCCTGAACTCCAGAATAGGTTTAAGCCTTAGCTCCAAGAACCACCACTGCTCAATTCTTCAATAAATGAGCAAATACAAACAGAAGTTTTTAAAAAAAAGAAAAAAAAAACAACAAAAAACCCAGAAAAATATCTGAACTACAACACAGCAAGAATGTGACATCTACCGAAGGTCAAAAGAACTGCATTTACAGCACTGTTTACACAGTTATCCCAACTCTCGATGACCCTGGACCTTTAACACAACAGTTAGCTTGTTGTGGTAGACTCGATTCATTTTGGCATGTAGCACCCAGAAATAACAGCAGGCATTTAATAGTAAAAAATGCTAAGCATTCACCATGAATCCTACAGCACCTTCAACCCAGATATTTAAAGCTCATTGGGGGCAGCGACTAAAAAAAAAAAAAAAAAAAAAACCACAAACCCACCCTGGAAGAGTCACTGTGCCCCATTTCTAAGCACGCAATGCAAATGAACTGCCTCCCTCTTCCAAGCAATTAGCTGCATCACTTGTAAATCCCACCCAGGAGGGGTGAGTGGCTCTGAAACGCATCACACGCCACACGCCAGCAATGGCAACGAAACCGCCCCTTCCCTTCGCTCCTTCACACACATGTGAAGGAGAAGGACGAGACGGATTAAGTAACATCTGCCCGACACCTCGGAGCGTTCATTTTTGGCTGGAAATAACTCACACCCACCCAGCGCGAAGGCCCGTCCCCGGTTCCTGCAGCAGCGCCCCAGCTCCCGGGCAGCCCCTCCGGTTCCCGGCTCGGGCCGGCAGGGCCCCGCTTCCCGGCGGGGAACGGGCCCGGGCGGTGGGTCGGGCGGGCTGGGGCCCTGCGGAGCGCGGCGGCCCCGCAGCCCCTCCCTCCTCCTCCTCCTCCTCCCCTGGGCTCCAGCCCTGCGCTCTATACAGGGCTCCCCACGTGATCCAGGCGGACGTTTCAATACTGCTGCACAGACACACACACACACAAAAAAATATTTCTGGAAACTTCCACTCCTAATAATTTACAGATTATGTCGCCGGGTTTGCCCGTACCCGATCCTAGCCCACCCGGCCCCTTCCTAACGAGGAGCATCCCCCGCAGCATCCGTGGCTGCGCTCGGCCAGGCCGGGGATGCTCGTACCCCAAACCCCATCYAAGCGCACCCCGGCCCCTCAGGGCTTCTCCACGGGGTCCATTACATGTTTCCCAGCACAGGCCAGGCTCTGTGCCCCCAGCACGGGCACATTCCCCCGTTCTGCCCCCAAAATCCACCCCTCTGCCCCCTCCGCGTTGCCCATCGCGACCCCCCCGCAACCCTCGCTTACCTAGGGGTTTCTCACAGCCTCTTCCTTCAAAAAGTAGGGGCGAGCGAGCCAAGTTTCTAACCACCACACGCCACAAGAAAAAAAAATGAAAATAAAAAAAGACCACCAAAAATAACCCCCTCCCAAAAAGGAAAAAAAAAAAAAAAAACCACGGAAGGAGGGGAAAAAAAACCACCACGGAAAGAGGGGAAAAAACCACCACGGCAGGAGGTGGGGGGAAAGGCAAGCGCTCCCTCCTCGGTGGTGGGTCGGGGTTAGTAGCGCCACTCCTCCCCTCGCAGCGTGCCCGGCCTGGCTGCACCAGGCGCCCGCAGTGGCCCCCGGGGCTCCGCGCTCAGCTCCGCGCCTTCCCCTCAGCCCCGGGAAAGCGGCCGGCGCGGCGCTCCGGCCTCGCTCGTGCGGGGGGATCTACCCGGCTGCGCCTCCCGCGCCGCCCAGGCCCGGCCGCGCCGGCTCTCGCTGCCCCTGCGGCTGCTGCCCTCCCCGCCCGGCGCTCAGTTCGCCCCCATTCCCGCCGCCCACCCCGCGGCTCGCACTAAACTTCGCCCCCTCAGCTACGGGTCCCCTACGAGCAGGTCACACACGCGGCAGCGGCGGCGGGGACTGAGTGCGGCGCGTCTCCCCCTCCTAATGCCACAGGCTCGGAACCGGCTCAAACCGGTTCAGACTGGGAGATTCCATCTCGGTTTAGTTTTCAGCCCATGGCGCCGCGGAGCGTTTGGAAACCTCGGAGGCCCCGCCCATCCGCCGCTCCCATTGGCCTCGGGATCTGCCGCCGCGAAGGMGACCGCCGCGCTGATTGGTCAGACCTGCTGTCAATCTGCTGCGCGCCTCGGAGGGGCGGGGGGACCGAGCGGCGGTGGGGGGGTGAGCAGAGGGGATCCGCCCCCTCTCAAGCAGCGCTTTGCGCGCTAAGGGGGGAGCCGCWGTTTTCTGATAGGTCGAGCCGAGCTGTCATTCAAGAGGCCCCGCCTCCAAGTTCGCAAAGCGCGGGCGCAGGCCTTGCCGCGCTCTCATTGGCCGGCGGCSGTGGCGGCGTGACGCGCGAGCCTGAGCGCGGCCTTCGGGGCTGCGGCGGGAGGGGGCGGGAAAGGCGCGGCCGTTGGGCGCCCCCGGGCGCGTGCCTGAGGGTGAATGGCGGGAGCGGGGGCGGCGGCCCGTGAGGGGAAGGGGCTCGCGGAGGCTCGTCCGTGTGAGGAGAGAGAGTTTGGAGGGCTCTGCTCAAAGAGGGGGAGGGTCTTGGGGGGATCTCTGCTTAGTGAGGTGAAGGGACTCGTGGAGCTTCTCTCAGTGAGGTTAAAGTGCTTGAGTAAAGGGGTTTTCGGTAGTGAGGTAAAGGGAGTCAAGGGTGCTGGCCCGTGAGGGGAAGGGGTCCGTGGAATTGGCCTGTGGRGGAAGGGGTTTGGGGAAAGGGTTTTGGGTCTCTGATCCGTGAGGGGAAGGGGTCTGGGCACCGTCCCTTTAGTGCAGCGATGAGATGGGGGCACCCTGTGGGGCGRGGCTGTATGGCAATGGCGGGCATGACCCCCTCAAGTCTCTGGCAGGGAGTGGAGTAGAGTAGAACATCGCAGGTCTGGAGTGGCCCCTGTGAGCGGCAGGGGCAGCAGCTCTCGCTGGGTGCCGGCTACCCCTTACCCCAGCAGTCCTGTGCTCTTCACTRAAGCCCTGTGCAGGTTGCAATTGTGTGTGTCCTCTCCTCTACGATGCCTTTATCCAGGGGGTGTCCAGCTTCCTGCTGCCCCTTAAAGCTGTAATCCAAAACGTGCTTCAGGCAAGATTGGCTTTCAGTTTCTCCAAATCTCGARCTGTGTGAGGCATGAGGTAACCAGACGGGAACAGGGGTGATCTTAGGGCTTTTCAGTGGTGGCATAAACTCGGCAGGCTGTGGTTGCACATCTCATCRCTGCCTGAAGGAGCAGAGAAGGTACTTGCCAACTTTAACGTGGAAAAGCTCTTATCAGTGAAAGTACTCTGTACCTACACATGCATTTCTTCATACCTCCTTATTTGAAAAAGCAACGGCTATAGAAACTTATGACTCACGTCTATGAGAAGGCTACTTTTCTGAAAAATGTATATACCCTACTAGAAACAAACTTTCTTTTTCATCTAATTTGAAGCAGTTTCTTTGTTTTTGGGATGGCATTAAAGTTGTCACTGAAACTGGTATAGAAGTGATAGTTTTGTTTTCTGGAATGTCCTCTTGATGGTTTCCAAAGGAAACTTTCTCCTTAGCTTTGCTGAGGTGGTRTTCACCTGTGCCGTGCCTGGGAGTATGGGAGGGATGCTTAAGCGCTTTTGCACAGTTTAAAAGGAAAAAAAACAAAGTGTTTTGTGGTGTGGAGGCTGCTCCCAAGCAGTGGGAGTAGTGGTTAAATTACCACTGGTGTGAATTTTGTACCCAGCAGGCAGGTACTGTGCCGTTGCTAATAAGTCATAAAAACACTTAACTGGTTTGAAGCCTTTGTTGGCTTTCTAACTATACAGATAGTGTGTGCTCAGCCATGTAACTGCTGGTTGGGACTCAAAACCTGTGTTTTTTCTGTATGATTTTTTTAATCCATACCTTCGGTGTAATGCAGCAGTTTAAAGGTAGGCATCTGTAGCCATCCCCAAAAGATTGCCAGTACAATGTAAACCATAACATACGTGAATAAATAAATCTAATTACATATACTTACACTGTTCTGATTGCCTGACCAATTCTAGAAGTGCTGTGGGGATTCCAGTTCCTCRATGTTCATTTTGTGGGTGTGTGTTATGTGGTTTCTTTACTTTCTTTTTGGGACAGCTGGGGAGATCTTATATTCAAATACATATTTATGTTTTGGGCAGAATCTCAGAGGATACAAGACCATGTGGTGCCAAATCAGATCCTGTGTGATGTAATACTGGCTTAATGTGATGTATTACTGTACTAAACTCCTCAGTTAAATTTCTTGGAAAAAATTTAGCAGCATTTAAGGCTTGAAGAGCTGGAATGTGAATGGTCTCTTTTATTTTTTATCATGCCTAAAAGGAACTGCATCCTGTTAACATCTGGGTTAGGATGGTAACAGTGCTTTGTTTAATTCCCCTTGTTTGTCTTGYTCTGGTGGGTTGGCTTGTGCAGAATGACTGTAATTGAAGATAGCACTTGAGCTGCTGGGATTGAATTTGAAAGTGATTCCAGTAGAATGGACAGACATAGCAAGCTCTTGGTGGGTTAAAAGCAGGGCTGTAACTCTAGCACTTAGAATAAACATTTCCTATGTGTGTTTTGATGTTCAAGTTAGCTCTGGTGTTCAAAACAAACTGATGTAAGAGACCAAGAAGTCACATTCTTTTTTTAACTCGTTCTGCTTGTTCAGAAGGTTCACATACATTTTCTTTTTGTGTATGTGTAATAGAAAAATGTTTAAATCCTTAAATCAGTTTGTTAAATTAATATTAACTGTTATGGGAGTAGATGCAGCTTCACATTTTCATCAGATGTTGGTAATGCCTCAGATTGCAATGTGGTTTTAATAAATTGCAGTGGTAACAAACACAGCAGGGGTTGGTTCTGCCAGTTTGTTTGCTAAATTCTGTGCTTGAGTAGGGAAGAGTTCCTGGCTCGTCATTATCACAGGCTCTGTTATCTCAAATAACATGTTAATTTTTTTTTTTAGAAATAGCCTTCCTATCTTCCTGCAAGCTGAGGCCTGAGAAAACTGAACTCTTCCCATYTGTTCTGTAAGGAGCCAGGTGAAAGCTGGTTCAGAAACTCAGTAAAAAGCAGCTGTTTTGGCAGGATGAGTGTATCTGATCACAACTTTTCTCACACACATGCTATTGGGAGTAGTAAGCTTATGCTTGCTGTTTTGTTGCCACTGTTCTCTGTCTGTTGGCTCCTTTATTAGATGTTCAGTCTGGTATTTAGGCCTTGCTGGAATCAATAGAAAAATTTGCTTGGGTTTCAGGTCAGCAGTGTGGCCTGATAGTGATAAAAGCTAACTGCACACTAGGGTAGGGCAAAAGGAACATAACCAGGACATAAGTGAAGTGGTTCTTTCTCTCTGCTCATCACTCAGTAGCTCCATCTGGCACACCATGCCTGATTTTTGACCCATAACTACAAGAAAGWTGTGGAAAACCCTGTGGAAATCCAACAGAACCCATTTCCAAGGTGTAGAAGGTACTGAGAGAGATGGACTTCTTCAGGGTGGAAAAAGATGGATGAGGGCAGACCCAGTAGCTCAAACCAAAGCAGAGAGTGGGAACTATGTGGGCAGAAAGAATTAAGTAMCTAAGCTTTTGTGGTCTATTTGTTCTTCACAAGAGCCCCACAATTTGTAGGAGTAAATATATTTTGAGTACTTGTCTAATCCCAGCTCAGACTCTTCAGGGGTGATGAGATGGGCCACCAAGGTCTGAGTATGTCACAAAATAAAAGTTAAGTGGCTGGGCAATCAGTGTTTGGTAACTTTCACCCCAAGGCAAGAGAGCTGTGTAGTGCTCTTCTTTTTAACTTGTATGCAGGTTTTTTTTCACTTTTAAAGTTTTTTTTTGTTTGTTTTTGAACACTCTTGCTGTATGTTTTCTTTAGCAGTTTAAGAGAGCATGTCCTTTAGCTGTGGTCAGTTTGTTTTTTCAGAAGCCATATGATGTTCTTGGGTGGTGTACCAGCATTAAGCAGTGTGTATCCATGAAAGCTGAGGTTCTGATAGCATGAAGAGTCATACAAATAAGAGAAAGCCATCAAGTTGGTGTCAYAATTTCTTGACTGGTGAAGTAGGACTTTTAAGTGGAAACACCAGATAAAGGAGAAGAATGGAGCTGGGGAGATAAGGCAAAGGCAAGAGAAAGCAGCTGTAGAGTGAGGCTGAAGTGAAAGGAATGAGGCATTCAGAGGAAATTGCCAGCTGTAAATTTTCAAGGATGTCTGGGCAACACACAACGAAAATAATCTGTTAATGTCATGAGTGTCATTGTAAACAGCTCCTGCCTCCACCTCATCCTTCAGGAAAGGCCCTTTCCCCATCCATGCTTTTATGGGGGGGCGTGTCATCACTGCAGAGTTTTCCCTTTACCACGCTCTTTCTGTTTCCAAAGCTTTCTTCTCAACGCAGGCAAAGATGCCTTGTAGTTTGCACTTTCTCCTGCAGCTGTCCTGCTTAGTTCTGGGATTATTGACATGATAGGACCAGGAAATATGTTTGGCTAATGAAAGGAATGCAGAGTATTTGTTCTGTCCTTCCACTCTTGGTTCATGTCATTCTAGAAATGGCAGAACTAATCCTGCTTGAGCATCCCTCTTCTCACTGAGCATCTGCTGCCATTCTTAATTGTTTTATTTTTTCTGTTTGGGGAGCTTTTAATGTACCTTTTTCGTTCTTTAATTACTTTTGTTTGACTCCACCTTTACCGTGTCTTTGGTCCAACAAATTTTCCTTTTGGTTTCATTTATTCCTGTGTGGAACAAAGCAACTAGTCTGTTTTGATAAATGTCCCAGATCAATGATTTTGG